GAAATTTCCGGTTCCAGTCGAACACACCGGGTGGGTGGTTATAGGCAAAATAAACACTGAAGGCGAGAATATTTGATTCAAGTCTTGAAAAACACGGATTCCGGGTTCAGTTCATGTGTCCGTCCAAGCGTTTTACGCATAGGGGAATGCAGCAGTGTCCGCGAAGTGTGCGTGTGTTCGTCTGTCAAGACAGTTAATCATATTTATCAGTGATTAAGGTGCACTGTTATAACAGCTAAGTGCAGATTTAAATATCCAGAACTGTTGTTGTTTGTTGTTAAAATATACGGCCATTGTTTCTGTTATAAAGAAACTGTTATAAAGAAAAAGAGAACCTTTTTATTTAACTATGTTTTTTTATGAGTATTAAACGTTAAACGTAGACTTATATACTTTTGTTGATTTGTTTCTTTTGGTATTTACCTAAAAATTTGTCTCATTTCAATCTATGTGACCCGGGCATACTAAAACCCACCAACACACCTGTACCTTCCCGTTCAATATATATTTGTTTTTCAAGCAGTATATAGTATGAAAAATTCCCGTAAAGATGATGAATAATTTTGTCCACATTAAAGGTATATAGTGTTGTAATGGTTGAAAAAACAATTATTTGCGCCATGTATGACTCGCTTATGGGCGTTGTTATAACGTTGCTAAGCAACGCTAAAATCGAAATAAGCGAGAAGTCTATAGTTTAAATAACTTAACAATTATTACTAACTTCTTTACAGCTTAAACATACTGATGCAGTGAACTTAAGATTTAAATATTATTGCCGTTTTAATTTTCCAATTAACAACGTTAAACGTCAAAATTTAATTTTTCGACGTCATTTGTTTACAAAGTGATCAAATATATGACGTTCGTTAAATTGGTAAATCTAAATAACTAACCCTTTGATTTGAAAACGGTTTGCACCGTCATATTCAGAAAGAAATTCTCTACAATAATATGTGAAAAACCAATTTTCGAAAAAAATGTCATTAAGACCGGTTTTCTCGCGTCGTGCCTCATATAGAGTTTAATCCAAAGCGTAAACAACACATATATACTGCATGGAATAATTATAAATAATTCAATCCCAATCAAACAGTAAAGTATTTGATAAAAGTTTTAAGAATTAAGTTTTAGATATAATCTGCAAAATGTCAATGTAATAAACAATATACTAACTTACTTTCTTTCAGTAAAATCAATGTTTTACTTGAATTTTTTTTAACAAAATGTTCAAATACACAATAATGTAGGGATAAATGCTGAAAGAATGTTACTCAACTTATTTATTTGTTCATGATGAAAAGAAAGGTAATTGGCTGCCTGATTCTAGCTAATGTTATTTTACTATCACAATATTTCAAGATTACAAGTACTGACCTGAGCATGTTGGAACTTGGTCTCAATTTCTCCAATCAGCCAATCAAATGCCTCGTTAGACAGCCTGAATTCTTCTATGACACGTTTAGAGCAGAAAGTTGATCGGATGAGAACCTTCATAAGAATTGTAGCGTTCTCATTGGCCTGTACACTAAGTCTGTCCTCACCTGGCACCACAGTTAGTCTTTTACATAAATACTTCACATCTACAAATGTGAAAAATAAATAATGATGTATACAGACTGGCAATCGATCTTATTTAAGTCTTATATACTTATCGGGTAGAGAGGCTTCCACACAAGTTTGTTAAGTTTTTCTAACTTTTATACCTCTATTAACACAGAGGATTATTTTGCCATTTCCAAAAATGAATATATAATAACTGACTCACCTTCAATGATTTTGAGAGGATGAATCTCACATGTTTTCCTTTTATCAATCTTGAAGATTTTATGAGCATTCCAGATCATTCTCTGTAAATTACACGGCAGTACAATCTTGCTGTCTCCCGACGGGAAAATCTGCCGCAGGGAATCCCGATCTTCCTTCAATTGTTCCCATTCTTGCTCTATCTCGGCCTGGGCGTGAGCGTCAGCCAGTAATTCCCTGACTACCTCTTCTGTCAAACTCTTCTTTAATTGTCTGATCAAATAAATTTACATGTATGATATATTCAGGTCCAAAATTCCACTGATACACTTGTAATTATGAGAAGAATTTAAGAGAATTTGATGCAGGACGAGTAGAAATATGTTGCCTGCACATTGGATTTAGAAATGACTCTGAAAATACTTTTCGATGCCCGATATTTCAAAGGGAAAAGAATGGTAGATATGGATAAATGACATTTTAAAGGTTATATTAATCATTCAATAAATGACAGCTGTATTAACTATCATTGATTTGCATCCATCAATTCTTTTCCGATTAAGCTTTATTATTATTACATTCAAAGACAAGCAGTTTGACGATGTTTCATGTAAGAATTTCATATAAAAGTTACCACCAGATTACCTTTCATTAGTTGGGTCAAACTTGAAGTTCTTTTCGAAGGCCCTGTTGGATGGTTTGAGGGTTGGCATGGACTGGAACTCGACCCTTGTTGCCTCTAGACCGTCCTCACCGTACCTCAACTGTACAAGCTGTTCTACCTGGTTTCTAATTGTTCCATCATACTTCACCATAACACTCTCCATAGCTTTGATCAAACGACGCTGAATATATCCTGAACAAAACAATTTACACTATGTTAAGGTATTTTAGGTCTCCATTGGAAATTAAAGTAATTTTTCAGGAGGGCAAAGAATAAATTTTTTAACTAGCTGTTCAAATTTTCTTAATCTTTCCAAAATTAAAGAGAATCTTGATTGAATCCAACTCTGACATGAAAACAATTTGTTGGTCACTGTTGTACTGTCTGATTTATCAGCTCCTGGAAATGAGTTTTTTTTTACACATTTGGATAGCTTTTAATAATCAAATCAAACAATCAAAATCAAAAATATCAATACATTGTTATATTTCAAATTACTCTTTTTGTTCCTTTATTTTCCACCATTATGCAAAGTTGAAATCAATTCTATCAAAAACATATTTTGTTGTTCTTCATTAAGATGGTCTCTATTGTATACTAACCAGTTTCAGCTGTTTTGACAGCTGTATCAATAAGACCTTCTCTACCTCCCATAGCGTGAAAATAAAACTCTGACGGTGTCAGACCGGCCAGGTACGAGTTCTCCACGAAACCTCTTGACTCGGGACCGTAATCATCCTTGATGAAATGTGGCAATGTTCTGTGCCGGAAACCAAATGGAATACGTTTGCCTTCCACGTTCTGTTGTCCTACACAGGCAATAACCTATTTGCATAAGAATTATAACTTTCAATTAATACTAGTGATAACTAATGTTTCTGCTAATAAATCAGGCTTTTTCTAAAAGAAATTGTTTTATTTTTAAAACCTAGATACTGGGACTGATGTAATTCAGATCTTAAAAAGCATAAACAAATTTCTGTACAGTTAATTTCTTCCTTTTTAAGTAATTCAACAATAGATCAATCATCAGAAGATCCAATCATCCATGTTACATGTATGTCAAATAATATTATCCAGTTTTATAAGTTTCCTACCTGACAATTTGAGATTTATGTCCACTAAATCTAAGAGTGAATTACCTGAGAAATATTAATCTTGGAACCTTTAGAGCCTGCCACCACCATAGCTTTGAAATTGTTGAAATCGGAGAGAGATTTCTGGGCTTTACTACCAGTCTTGTCTCTGGCATCGTTCAAAATTCTGTTCACCTGATTCTCAAACGTCTGTCTCAGTGTATTACCTGGTGTCGGCTCCATCAAGTCCATGTGAGCTTTTTCCGTCACTTCGTACACGTCTTGCTGTTAGAAAGAAAACAACCATAGAACATAATGAAATCATACTGTCAGTAGGTAAATTATTTTTTTATCAAACATTTGGTTGCTAGTATTCATTAGTATAACATGTATGAAGGAGTTAGTATAAAGATGAAATGATACATCCACCAATGATCATGATGGGTCATCAAAGTATAGATAGCAGTTACCCAATCTTTCTACGGCCATATACACTATACAACATGGTCTTGGTCAAAACACATAATCTTCTACAATGTTACATTTGTAGGAACTTTATGGGCAGTCATAAACAATACATTTTACCTGATCCACAGTTTGTTCGAGCGTGTAACTTGGATCAGGTAGCAGTAGCCCTAAGTAGGCCTTTTCTGTTACCTTTTGTACAGCGTCCTGCCAATACATTTATTACTATTATGCACAACAATCACACACAAACATCCCTTGCAGTAAATAAATCCAAAAAATAAATACAAACCAAATGATATTATTTACATGAACTTGCAACAAATATATAATTCTATATTTATATGTAGATAAAATGACCAATATGGTCAGCAATTGTTTAATAGTAACCTTCTGTTGCCAAATTGTTGACACTACAAACCTTACTCAAATGAAGTCCTTCAATTCTGTCACATTATTAACATTTCAATATGAACACAAAATACTGACTTTCAAGTTCACAAATTGCATCTTTGGGCAATGTTAAATATAGGAAGCTTTCCACTTCTTAAAATAGAGAAAATAAGAATCCCTAAAGAAAGTCAAGTGACAAAATTGAAAATGTTGGCGACTCGGTTTGATTGAGCTAAGAGCCTTTCCACTTCTTAATACTTCAAACATCATATCACACCTTTAGCAGGCTTTTAAATGTTGGAGATAATCCTTTATTCATTTTTTTTACTAACCACTGTATGTAAACTTTTGCTTTCGTCGAGTTATGAGATATAACCAATTAGCAAACGATAGAAAAAACAAATACCTTAGCTTTTTTGATGGTATCCTGGATATCTATATATGTCTGAGGGTCAGCAATAGTATCTCCTATACCTATACTGTGTCCCTCAATCAACAACCAGTTGTTTATAACTGTCTGAATATTACCATACAGGAAACCTGTAATCACAATCGTATATCTGCTTAGTTTCAGCCTCCCTTAACACAATGTGTTGAAATTTCTTCCATGCAGATTATTTAATTAACTATTAGCAGGAAAGTGAAATTTTTATTGAACAGAAACATGAAATTCTTGTAAAACAGAAATGTGAAAGTCTTATAAATCAGAAAGTGTTATTAACAAGCTGTCAACAGCATTTGTAAAAAAAAATAGTAAGTAATTCCATCACCCACTTATGAAAAATATTTTGTCATTTTTCTCAACACATGTATGACTTACAAAACCATTCCTTTTAGGTAATGTAATCTAAATAATGTAATACTAAGTTGCCCCTACCCTCGTCATAATGTGCTATTAGCAGATGGAATATCTATTTCATTATAAATATCATACAATGTATTAATCTAATTAACACAACAAAAAATGTTCTCTGAGACGGCTATTTCATCACAGTAGTAGCTATTAATATTCTGTAGAACTTATTACACGTCACATATCCTACTATACCTGCAGGTTCATATCCCATCTCCAGGAAGACGACATGAGCCAAAGCACCAGATGATGTTCCCAGAGACTTCTTACACAATATTCCTGATATAAGCTCACCATCTTCTATCAACACCTGTAATTATACAACAATTGCCAAAATACACGAAACAAATAAACCTAAAGACAGTAGCTCTTCCTTACTAAGACAACATTTCCCTTTTCGTATTTTGAAATTTTTCCCTATAATGAATGGTTTTGTCCATACTTAAAGATCAACATATCCATTTCAAGATATTTATCATGGTAAAGGTTAAGCAAATCATATATAGGAAATGCGACAGTAAATACCTTAGTATCACCAGGTGAGATCCACTTGTACGGACCTTTATCTTCCTCGTCTGGATGTGTGCTGTGAGTTCTGATCAAGTTTACACGACCAGGAATGATCAGGGAGAAAATCTGCTTGCCTGTCCATAGTGGCTTAGGCTTCAGGATTGCTGGCTGGGGCATGTGACCATCCCAGCTTGGCAGAAACATCAGAAGGTTCATCATCTGACCCTAAAAATGTTGATTTAGATGTTTATAACATTAACTGACTATAAATGAATCAAATAGGAATACACTTGGAGAGGCAATGACATTGAATTATTTAAAATATCCAATTAGAGAAGAGTATTTAAGTCAGTGGAATCAAATCCAGATATAGATAATTTTATTTGCTATTTAAGAAATCAAAAAGTTGTGATAAAAGGAAGTCAAGAAGGCATTAAATTTCTTCAAGATTCCAGCTGATAAGCCATTGATGTATCGATCAGGAGTGGATACCAGATACAAGGGTAACAGTTATGATATGAAGACAATACTTATGGTGTTAGGTTGATCGTAATTACCAAAAGTATTGTCGGTTATCAACCTTCGATGCAATATTTGACATAACAAATTTTTATTTTAGTTTCATCTCATGATCTGTTAAATTTTAGTTACCTAGACAGTATCATGCTTATATGATAAGAAATATCAGTCACAAATAGTTAAAGGTAGTAGAAAGTTTGTACTACATACCCTGTCAAGAAACACGTCTCTTTTTGTCATTTTTCTGACGGCTGTAAGCGTGTCCTGTACAATACCCATGACTGGTCTGTTTGACTGTGGGGTGATAATCATACGAGGTACAGTAGCTAATTGTGAGATCTCTGCCCGAGTCTCCAAAGACTGCGCCAAATGGAGATTCATCTCGTCACCATCAAAATCAGCATTGTATGGTGTTGTGACACTGGAAATACAAATAATTACAAGTATTACACATGCTATATATACTTAATAAGTCAGAATTAGAATGGTTTAAGCCATAAAGGTACAGATATATTTTTCTGTTTTATGCCACATTGTTAAAGGCACATAGACACTTAGTAACTGCACTGGTAAGAAGATCCCTTTTGTAAAAGAAAAATTATTTCAATTTTGTTTACTTTAATCAGTTGACCAATTATAAACATTTTACACAAATTCAAAGAGTAGAATAGGAAGAATAATTGTAACTGCTGAATCTCTTAAATGCTTCTATTTCTTTTTGGCACTATTACCAATTTTGGAGAAAACAAAGTAAAGATTTTCAAGCTGGTCAGCCAACAGTATAGAGCCTGGTCAGACTGCACGAATGTGCAGGCTGACCTCGCTCTATACTGGTGGCAAAGGCCAAACACTTTCTTGTTCCAGCAAGTAGGTAGAAAACTTGTCAACAAAAAAATATGAGATTACCTGAGGTTCATCCTGAATGTTGACCAAGGTAAGATTTTCACCTGATGACACATCATACTCATCTTGTGAAGTGTTGGCTGTCTGTTAAACACAATAAAATCACCATCCTGCATGTGTCGCTCTACCTGTTACCATATAATGTATACAGTTTTATTTCTAAAATATCATTAAAAGTTAATATAGTTTTATCAATTTACTTCTAAAATATCATCAAAACTAAGAGTTTTATTGATTTATTTCTAAAATATCATCAAACTAGAAATGTGTCCATAGGACACTGATGCCCCCACACGCCACTGTTCTGTCAATCTTATGACTCTAGGTCAAATATTTTTTGGACTACATGTGCCACAAGTTGAAAACTAAAAATCAACAAAGGGCCATAATTCTGTTAAATTTGGTCGCAGCAAAAAATCCTTCCTTTACTACGATCTACACATTAAGGTTGTTAATCCCTGGAAGTTTAAGCAAAATCTACCATCCGGTTTAAGAGGAGTTGCGTTCACAAAATTTCTACATTGTATAAAGTGAAAAAATCAACAAAGGGCCATAATTCTGTTAAATTTGGTCGCAGCAAAAATTCCTTCCTTTACTGCCATCTACACCTTAAGGTTGTTCATCCCTGTAAGTTTAAGCAAAATCTGCCCTCCGGTTTAAGAGGAGTTGCGTTCACAAAATTTCTACATAGTATAGAGTGAAAAAATCAACAAAGGGCCATAATTCTGTTAAATTTGGTCGCAGCAAAAAATCCTTCCTTTACTAGCATCTACACATTAAGGTTGTTCATCCCTGTAAGTTTAAGCAAAATCTGCCATCCGGTTTAAGAGGAGTTGCGTTCACAAAAATTTCTATATAGTATCTAGTGAAAAATTCAACAAAGGGCCATAATTCTGTTAAATTTGGTCGCAGCAAAAATTCCTTCCTTTACTACCATCTACACATTAAGGTTGTTCATCCCTGTAAGTTTAAGCAAAATCTGCCATCCGGTTTAAGAGGAGTTGCGTTCACAAGATTTCGGGACGTACGGACGGACAAGTGCAACGCTATATGCTCCCACATTGTGGGGGCATAAAAACTTAAGTTATGTAACTCAACAACACTAAATTGTCAACTTCCACTAATTTAGTTCTATTATCTATACACAATAGAGGTAAACAACTATCTTAAATTTTCCTGATAACATTATTAGTTATTCCTCCTATTTATCAAAACCTGCCATATTTCTTTTACTATTTGGAAAAGTATGTAATCTTTTAGAGGAAACATAATTCTTGATACAGAATTAATAGCAATCATTACATTAACATGAACATTAAATTGGTGGAAACTGCTTTAAATCATATGAAACATAATGTTGAATGTCCTTTTTAAAAAATCTGGGTTAAATGATTTAATTAATAAATTTCATTGAACATATATGACATTATATAAGAGAATGATGTCATTACATACATACCTTGTATCCAATTTGTAGATGTAGATCACTTGACTTTGGATGAAATCTAAGATCAATTCTTTCTCCATTGTCTCGAACAATATATTTAGCTCCTGGATACTGGTTAGCTCCCCTTCTTACTAACTCATGTAATCTGTTACGGAAACCATCATATCAGTTTTTTGTCTTTAATACAACATTCTAACACTATCGGAAATTTTTCTATATAGACAAAGAAGGCCCGAAGCGTGCATTATTCTGCAACAATGCACTCGCCGTTCTTATTATCTCCCTGTGTGTTTTCACATTGAGGGCGCCATTTTGTTTGAAAAATCTGATGAATAAAAACAATTTTTTGTCGAATTTTGTTGTGAAAACTATCTAGAATGATAGAAAATGGTCTAACTAAGAAAATAAATCCGAACACCAATATCTTTAATTCAGTCGTTAACGCTGTACAGACGTTTAAAGTGTTGTTTACGTGACGTCACAATGTAGCGCCAAACAGCACGTGCAAAACAATCAAAATCAAGTACGCTATTTTAACGTCGCAGACGAGTTAAGTTTTACATTTATTTCACTTTTAATAATTTGTATTTCGCTTGGAAAATTATAGAATGAAATAAAATAAACAAACAAAGTTTTATCAACGTTTTCAAAATTCGTTATTCTCAAAATGTTTCTACACACGGTAGATTTAACGACAGTTTTTTTCAACCCACTGGAACGGCCTTTTAAGAACGTTTCTATTGGAAACTCTAAGGCGAAAACAAATTTAACCGCCAAACATAAAGTCCAACTTTATAATAATAATTATATTTTTTCTTGACGTGTTAGAATGGAAATAGATATTAATTCTTCGTGCATTATTGTATAATAATGCACGTTTTTCGTTCAAATGCTTTGTAATTAATCACTCAGGCCTATCGGCCTTCGTGATTATATTACTACGCATTTGAACTCAAACCGTGCATTATTCTACAACAATGCACTCAGAATTGATATCTATTTCCTAATCAACATATCCGTTGCAGTGATAATTGTACAAATCATATTCATAAATTAAACAAAACTCGGCAACCAATTTTGTCCACAAGGATACATGTAATGCAATTAAATTCTTCCTTACCTAATTTTATACATTTAACAATCCTAAAACTATTCCTGGTATTGTCAGTTGACTTTGTGTATTTTAAACCTGAATGTAAATCCAAATCCTATTGCTCTATTTCTATACATTTTCTTTTATCTTTAGCCATTAATATATACAATAGTCACACTGTGACACACCAATTTTTTTTTTTAAAGAAAATTATGTTACCACTGAAATGTTTCACCAATGCTATGGTTATGGTATTTTTATTAAAAACCAAATGATGTTCAAGTTGAAGAAAATACGATAAGTTAAAAGTAATTGGATGAAAGAACTTGATTCTATTTGATCAACAAACCTGTCAATGTTAAAGGGGGTGACAATCTCCGGGAATGTCATATTCTGTGCAATTGTTCGTGGGACTCCGACCTGATCAATACGCAGATTGGGATCTGGTGTGATGACGGTTCTGGCAGAAAAATCTACACGTTTACCCATCAAGTTTCCACGAACTCGCCCTTCCTTACCCTTCAACCTCTGTTTGATTGATTTGAGGGGACGCCCAGACTTTTGCACTGCCTAAAACAGACAGGTGTTTAAAATATGAAATTTCCTTTACCATTTTCAGTGTTAAGATTCTTTAAATATTATGCATATAAACAAAAACCTTTTAACTAACCTGTCTCTTATCAATTTTTTTTCATAGTCTAAGGAATTGCTTTATTTATATCAAAACTCTAATACAATTCATCTTTCATTTGAGCTCTAAATGTTTATCATTACATAACATACTTTACATTATTGTATACACTAAAAAAATCCCAATGAATTTCTATAAGAACACTTCAAAAACCAGTGTTACCAACATAAAATTTCTGGTAAATAGTCAGTACAAATCATGATCTCAATTCACTTTGGATGGCAAAAATACCTGTACTGTTTAACCAATTATGTTAAAAACTGAATCTAGAAAAACTATTTTACCCTCGGCAGACCAGGCAACTCATTATCAGTGAGTGTTGCCACGTGGAACTGTAACATTTTTGTATCCTCAGCTATGATATGTGCAGCCGCTCCATTCTGTTCATTACGTTTTAACTGATTGTTAGCCTTTATAATGTCTGATAACTTGTGAGTTAAATCATCCTGTATTGTAATAGAAACAATTTTATAAGTTCAGAGTAGAACATATACATATCTAATGGTATCTGTGAACATTATATTAAACAAAAAAATTGTTACAAAAATTTATGAAAATAGTTCAAAATTTTATTTCTTTATGTTGATGCTTACATTTTCTTGCCCTCAATGCTGAACAAAAACTACAACAGAAAAGAAACTTTTAACCCATTCTTCTTAAAATTTCTAAGTGAATACAATAAATTACCTGGTTCCTAGCTGAGCCAAACATGACAACGGCTGGTCTTACACACAGAGGGGGTACCGGCATCACAGTACATATCAGCCAATCAGGTCGCGCAAACTTTGGGTCCATTCCTAAAACAAGTAATTTATACAGTCATATGATGATGATTAAGTAATGGCCATCAGAAGATAATTTTGTATACATTATATTTAGAGCTGTCGTCAATAGAGACATTATCTATGTATTATTGATACTTTTCTTTGACTAATTAATTTTATGGAAATATTTCACAGCAATCGTGACAAAAAACAAGAGCTGTCGGTAGGACAGCATGCTCGACTATTCTAAGTGTTTGATATTAAAAGAGCCTTGATAATGTAACATTTTCTAAATTAACAAAAGGGCCAAATTTTTCTTTAAATCCATATTACGGCTATAGGTCTTTGGGAGAGTCCTATTATGCTCTCAAAGAAGTGCATAAAATTTCAACATGTTTCAAAGCGAGATGTCAATGGAATAGGAAAATATCTGAGGTGGTATGCAACTTGATCGTAAATTCTTAGTCAGTAATTAGCATTATTATACTCACCCTTGTGACAATTTTTGAATAGTCAAGCCAATACTGACTATCCAAAAATTGTCACAAGGGTGTTTTATTGAGTATAATAATGCTAATTAGCTATGACTACATAAAATTGACTGAAAAAGGTACAAAGGCTTGTTATTAAGATGTTTTATCAAGTAAATCACTGCTTTATTATTATGAATGCATAAAAATGTCCCAAAAAGGCACAAACTCTTCAGTAGTTATGGACATAACAGCTTAAAAGCAAAACTTTACCATGAATTTATAAATTGAAAAAAGGGGAGAAAAATCAGCCTAAATGCAAGATAGAATTATGGATCTTGGTCAGTGACCTACAATTATGATTCTAAATGCATATGTGAAGTTTTAAATAAATATCTTTAATAGTTATTGAGATATGTAAAACTTGCATGTAAACATTAACCAAGAGACTAAGTAGAAAAGGGGAGATGAATCAGCCTTAATGCGAGTAGAGTTATAGAACTTGGTCAGTGACATACAACAATTATGACTCTCCAATTATGACCCTAAGTACATGTGTAAAGTTTCAAGTAAATAGCTTTGAAGACCTTTAACCAAAATTTCTAAGTTTCAAAGGGGCAAATAATTCTGTAAATATTGCAGGCAGAGTTATGTGATTTTGCAAACTGAAATATACTATATATATACTATAAATAAGTATTGTAAGGTTAAATTGAAAATCTCAAGTAATAATTGAGATATTTGAATTTACAAAAAACATTAACCAAAATTTCTAAGTTAAAAAGGGGCATAATTCTGTCAATATTGTAGGTAGAGTTATCCAACTTGTCAATCTGATGTACATTGTTACTATAAATAAGTATTGCAAGTTTCAAGTGAATATCTCAAGCAATAATTGAGATATTTAAATTTACAAAAAACTTTAACCAAATTTGTAAGTTAAAAAGGGGCATAATTCTGAAAATATTGTAGGAACAGTTACCCAACTTGTCAATCTGATGTACATTGTTACTATAAATAAGTATTGCAAGTTTCAATTGAATATCTCAAGCAATAATTGAGATATTTGACTTTACAAAAAACTTTAACCAAAATTTCAAAGTTAAAAAGGGGCATAAAATTCTGTCAATATTGCAGGCAGAGTTATCCAACTTGTCAATCTGATGTACATTGTTACAATAAATAAGTATTGCAAGTTTCAATTGAATATCTCAAGCAATAATTGAGATATTTGACTTTACAAAAAACTTTAACCAACGCAGACGCCGACACGGATGCTGACGCCGACGCCGGGGCGACTACAATAGCTCTCATATTCTTTGAATAGTCGAGCTAAAAATGGTCTGGAAAAAATAATTATAGGTAATTATCAATATATCGGTGTATCGTTGATATTTGTCATCAGATATCGATATACCGTTGATATCCTTTGCACTGAATCAATGATAGCTCTACATCGTATATGTAAAGCATGATATAGTGCATTTTACAAATTTGTAATTAGGGAAATGACTCTTCTGAGCTGTATTCATATACTGAATATATAGATCAGTAGCTAATCATATGTCATACAGGGCAACTGGATAAACAAATTGTTTTGTTATTTCTAGTGTCAGAACTTGTTGCTATTTTTTGCTAATTGTGTTATACCTTATTTTCATTAGAATTGTTTTTTTATTTATTAATAATAATTATACAATATACCTAACATAACTGCCTCTTCATCTGAAATTCTCTTGAAAATTTCATGAACTCTTTCTGCCGTTAGAAGTATCTTCCTCTCCTGGCCTTCTTCATTAATTTTCTTCCATTCACAAGTCAGTTCTAGACCCATTCTTCTTATGTTTGGTTGATATCTTCCACAACCTCCATGTCCCTGCAACAAGAATGGCATTTGTCAGATCATCATTTATAAAGTAATAAAATAATATTGTTTTCTTTTAATTGCTCAATTATAGTTATATAGAAAATTCAAAATTCTTAGGGCATTATCCCTTTTTCAAGATTTCATTTTGCTATATAAAATGTAAATAAATGAATAACATGGGAATGTGCAAAACATCAAGGTTAAGGTTTACAAGATCAATCTACAAATGCCAGTAAGGTATACTGTGCTTGTTTTCGTCATTGTTGAAACAATACACGTTATTGCTCTTGTAATAAAAAACAGAGTTAATTAAAAAGAACTTTGGAAAATTGATTTTCAAAAGCAAATTGTGTTTTAATAGTTTGGGCCAAATGTGACCAAATAACATTTGCATTTTTTTCCAAGAACATTTAATTAAACTACATTTTAGTTTATGTTACCTTTTTCGGTTCACCACCCTCTGCTGCGTCTTTTTCTAGTTTCGTGTCCATCTCGTCTCCACCTTCACACAGCTTGCGACCTTTACAAAGGTCATAAACATGAGCCAATCTCTTAGCTGGATATCCTTTTGACCTTGCCATCACATCTTTCACTTTTGGGGATGTCTAAAAAATAAGTTCAATATTAATGTACTGAAAAATATAATTAATACACATATTATCAGTAATATAGGTGCTGGATGACTCGTAAGTAATCTTTTTATGGATAGAACAATAAAATTGCAATTTCTTAACGTTCAACATCTTTTTTTAGGTACTTTTCTTTTAAAAATAATAGTTATACAGGATTTAATGCAAAATACATGTAATCTTGTTATCTCATATCACATGCACATAAACTTGTATTTGATGTTCTCCGAAGTTATGACTTGTTCGGATATACTCGTCACAAAGTAGCTAAGAGGTTTAATAAGTACTCTGTTTATTCCCATCAGGTTGTTCGCTAGCCATGAAATCCTGAGGGTCATTTTGACTAAAGTTTTACTGACTTCAAGGCCAAATTGCCATGATTTTAAACAAAATTTGACCCTCCAGTTAAATAACTGAGGGTCAAATCAGGCCTTTTGGAAATTTGAAGGGTCAAAGGGTCATTTCAAGGGTCTGTCCCATACTGCCTCATGTTTACTTATTACTTTAATAGACAGCTTGTTGTCTTTGGTACTATATTTAAGTGAATGACAGAACATCAAATTAAATAATCAATGTTATAATATTCAGCTTTTCTGTTTGGTATCTGTTGATATATACTGGCATGCGAGCAGTTCCCGTACAAAAATCATAGTTACTTAAACATTATTTTTTATTACGCTCACTCACCAAAATTTGAATGACACAACATCAAATTAAATAATAAATTTTTTAATATTCAGCTTTTCTGTTTGATATATATTTTAAACTTACAGGGTCAACAAGTAGTTTTGAGCAGTAGAAACACACACATCGTAGCACTTTGATTGACTTTGTGAGGAATCCTATATGAAAAACTGGCTTTGCCAATTCTATATGTGCAAAGTGACCCGGACACTCGGACATGTTTCCAGCACATGTCTGACATCTTGCTGTTCTGTCTATGACACCCTGTCGAGGGTCCATCAACCCTCCGAGTTTTGGCCGTCCTCCCTCCATGGTTTCCGAGTATCGCAAACCTCCCTCAACCACAGACATACGTCTCTGCAAAAAAAAAGTCAAGCGCTAAAAATTGTCCTTAAATATATCTTTCATTTTGCCAAAAACAAATATTCACAATACATGTATTCTGTGTTTCAAGCTATTAATACACCTATCAGCACAATAAAAAATATTTATACAACTTTACAATTTTGAAGTATTAATTAAAGCATCTCCTAAGCCTATTAATTTATGCCATAGACTACGGTCTCATCTTTTGTCTGTTTTGTATATTTGTTTTCCAGTTAGTATCGGACAAAACCCCACCAGACCGAAACTGTCAGTGTAATAATTTCCTTGGCGAACAAAACTCTATGAAATTTTCCTAGACTAACAAAAAGCTACCCTATTTTTCTCATAGGTGGTCTTAGTGGGCCAGGTTTTCAATGTGTTTTTTTTCCATCTCCCTTTTTTCAATTTTTGGAGGACCTAGATCCGCGGCCAAACATGGGCATCATGACCAGTAATCGCACAAAATTTTCAGGGGGGACTTAAGACTCTCGTTCAAACCTGGGTGTCATAACCAGTAACAGGGCCTTTTTACCTACTATAACAGGGGCCGGTATAGGGCTGCTTCCCCAAAGAAAATTTCTTTAAAATCATGCAGTTTTCCCCAAAAATTGAATTTACATCAAGTTTTTCCTTCCCCTTTTGCAAATATACCATGTAATTTTTCCCCAAAATTAAGGGCTGGGCTGCTTCCCCAACCTGTGAAAAAAGGCCCTGAGTAATCGCACAAGTCAAGTGTCATGCGAGTGTGCGTCAAGAAGTAAAACAGGACCTTCCTCTACACCTGTCTTTATCCAGAAATTTATACAACACAATTTTGTCGCTTATTTATTGACAGAACATTTGTGTAAATTAAGTTAAATATAATTCTTTAATTTTGATTTTTTGCCAATTGAATCATTTATTGATACAAAAAAGTTACGAATATCAATGCTTTTATTCAAAATACTATACAGGTTATAATCAAATGGACATACGAGTTCATCTGGACCAAGGATACCAAACTGCACTTTCTTGACTTCACGCAATGGTGCATTTGAATCTCCAGTGTAAGCCATTATTGTTAGGTTTCACGTTATTGTGAAATCCAAAATGGCGTCACAAAGTATCAAACAAATCAAATAAAAACAAAAGGTAAACGTCAATAATTATGCCTCATTTATTAACTAGACAAAACCAGCTCTTAAACTCTTAACATTTTCACAATTTTTGTTCAATTCAGCAATTTTCAGCTCGATCCACACCGACTCTTAAGTCAGATTTATTCTCCGTGTTCGAAGTCCGCTACCCGGACTGATTGATTTCGCCGAAAATCGGTCTGTATTTATACTTTTTCAGAGAGTGCGGGTTCAACTTTAGTATTTCAAATACTTCCTGTACTGGTTCCTAGCTTAAGTAAACTTGTTTATTTAGAATATCGTGAAAACTGTCAATGCTGAACACCCCTAAATTATATTATGTACTTCTATGAATAATTGATGATTTGTTTGTCTGGAGATGATAAAGATCACTTTGCATTTGTGACATTCGTTTCATGCTTAATTGTCATATTACTAAGATATATTTTTGGTTTATTTTAAACTCCAATGCCTGCAACAATAGATATCGTCGAATATTTATATATGCACTAGATCTAGATCAAACATAACTAGAAACACAGATATTTAGCTCCATGCTAGAAATAACCCGAATTGTTCGGTAATAAAATATGATATAAAATGAGATTTTATCAGGATCTGAACTGGCGTATTGCATTCAACGTGTCCACATATTTAACATAACGTTAGTGTTCTTGATTTTTGCGTCTAAGCATAAGTTACCGACAAGCAAGGGAAGTAATTATGTCAGTCCATAAACGTTAACTTTACAATAATTTGTTCCCTTACATTTTAAAATGATACTTTTTCCATATTAAAAGAAATATTCTAATAAAATATTCAATTTCCCTTTAAACTGTAATTAAAACTATTATTATTTACGTAATGATTTAATCTGAGTACATTGGAATTTGGTATTTTTGTTGTTGTTGAAAATTATGTAGTCACATAAATGAGCCAAATATACTCATCATATAAGAATATTTATTTTTTATTTATAGGAATATTGCCAAATTTGTATTTTATGCTATACATTTGAGAAATGAAAAACTTGCAATTATTGCTGCTTCTTAGGTTCTTGTATTATAACTGTATTGTATTATTGTATTTATGTTAAATGTAAATTGTATTATCTTGGCCATCCTTTTGTATATTGTAAATGGCCAAAGGTATATTGTATATGCCGATTTGCCAATAAACTGAAACTGAAACTCATATAAAAAATGAAAAACTCATGGCCCTTAAGGGCATAAGAATGAACAAACAAACAATACAACAAATAATATTAAAAACATGGCACAGAAGTAAATAAGTAAATAAGGAAGATTACTTAGTGAAATTTTATCATTAATTATTTGCTATAACAAACATTTCTGGATTAAATAAAGCATTTAATAAAAAAAAAAAGATATGTGTTTGCGAATATCTGCGCATGCGTGACTTTTAAACCACATAATGATACGTAATTTTATTATAGTCAGAACCCAAGAATAATCCGTCATGTAGAGCGTTGGACTGTGAATCTTACGACCCGGATTCGATTCCCGGACGGCGCAGGTCACTTTCTCAGTTAATGATAATGAAATCCTTTCCCCGGACATTCGCACTGTATCTTCCTCTGCTCTGGCATGTATAGAAGTTATCAGTTCCTTGCGAAAGTAAAAGCAACTAGTACTGGTAAACTGACTGACAGTCTGCCGAGGAATAATATGTCATGACTGAATTGTGCTCTGGTAAATTCAACGTGGCTTACTGCCTTGATCTGGAGTGAAAACTATCAAGAAATGAACTGAACTAACATGATAATAAAAGATGTATTATCTTAAATTTGTTGTACACATAAGCTTTATTTCATTTCATCTTTATACGTTTAAGTTTGACAATGAAATAAGAAAAACGCAAACATGTTAAAGAATGTATGAAACACCTTTAATGTCAATTAAAATTCATTGTGAAGACGCATGACAGTACATGTATAGCGTGGTAAAATATTTAAAGAAAACATAAAATTTAGGAAGTTCACAGTAATTAGCACATCATCCGTAATCTGTACCTCTTGTATTGTGCTATACGTCACATAGATATAAATAATATTATTGCAGTTCTCTGCGCAAATTGAAGAAATACGTAGGAGACTTTACTCGTATTTCACATCAATGATTGAAGGGCTGTTCAATTGATTATGCCCATTGAAGCAGCAAGTTTTATTTCAGATGCTGACTTTTTATTTGTGATCTGTATACAGATCTCGTATCTTTATGTTATAATAATATTATTAAGCAAAATTTAAAAAATCTTGTTCTTTTTTCACGGTGATGTTTACAGTTAAAAAAGTCGGTGCATAAAATAATACAAATATCCGGGAAAATAACTGCGATACTGTTGTATGATGTAATTCATACAAACCATTTTAATATGAATGCCATAAAAACGTAAACCTGCAATACATGCCAAATTGTTAATTATCACCGGTCGAATATGTCTAAAACGTATTGAATGATAATGATTTCTTACTCGATTTAGTATTTTTCTGAGGTATTTGTTCTATTTTAGACAATCAAGTCTCCAAAATAATTATTATCATTTTGTTTTCCTATTTTACAAATGGATTAAATTCATTAATTAAAGAGCACATCTGGAGCATAACAATCAATCACAGAATTGAAATTCTTCGTTGTTTTACTTTTAAACAAGATTAACCGAAAACATCAAGTTCAATTAGTTAATTAGATATAATTAATGTTTTAAGATGATATTTCAAGTCGTTCCGTCTGAACAATGTGGGTGTATGAAAGGTACATGTTTCACAGGTTTATTAACTTCCCTGTCCAAAGCAAATTGATATATATTTATTTTTCAACAGATAGAGTAAAGAATTTAGGACATCGAGGAGCAAGATAATGGTAAATATGAAATGTACACATGCGCACAATAAACAACACTTACAACAAATGAACAAAGTATTTCTTTTGCTAAATGCCAAAGCCAGAAACTCAATACCCCATTACATGGTAACTTACCATACAGCAGTGCGAAATGACCTTAATTGGTTTAGGAGTTCCAATATGACGTCTGTTTGAACTTTAAACATTCAAAATATTTCTCTCCTTCGATTGATAAACTTCTTAAAGCTTAAGATTCACATATGCTGACAAATATTAATAAATAAGTTATTGTCGTCATTGTCATTGAGTAAGATATATGTGTCTATAGCATATGGACTCTGTATCTTTTAATAAATAAAAGGTGAACTATTAGTATATTTAAGGACTATATGTGGAACAAATTCATACAACTTACATTTACCACTTTCGAGACCGCGTCTTGGAACTAACTAGTACTGGTGTCATATGAGAAGTCATGGTTGTGACCCGATTAGGGTGCGAACCCATGATCTTTAGGTTTAAAGAGAAACAGTATATAAAAAAACCCCCTGATCAAACGATCATTTTGTTAATTGAACTTAACAGTAACATTATGTTATTAACATTGACAGAAAAACTTGTGAGTAAAGTGATATCGATAGTATGTTCACACATTAATATCTTAATATCTTAGCTTAAACCAGGATACATTACTATAATGATTCCATCAAATTCCAGACAACACGTTGTAAGGTAATATCTGAAATAAAAACCATATCACGTTTTCCATTTCCGTTCATTTACGTGGATACTTCTCATTATTGAACTATGAAATGTTAGAAAATTACTGGAAATAGCTGGTTAAGATACTTATAGCACGTTTCTTGTTTAGAGTAATTGTGTTATTTGACAATACATTAATTTTGTCAAGAAAGCGATCCATATTGCATTATCTTAACGATTAAAGGCCCATTAAGCTTGAAAAACGCTATCATTTTAATTTTTCAAAAGCTTTTTTTGTCCTATTACAATTTCTTAAAATAACTCGTTGGCCATATACCTAAACTATCGTCTGCTTCTTTGCTCTTTGGCAATTAATACATTTACAGTGATTCAGTATGTTGTATGGGGTAAATATTGATCATAAATTATTTCTCATTGAAATTTGATGTACTCTTACTATTTTCGGTGCTTCAGAGAGAGCTCCCCTTTCTGAAGCAATCAATTAAAACATGACAGTAAGATTGTAGACTATGGTTATTGAGGGTCCATCCGCTCGTTAAGGCACAAAAAGCAGCATAGAACCCTTCCTTGTTCTCCCTGCCACATTTTGGGGCCATTCCCCTCGGCTTCAGTCAGGACATCGATAGCTGAATCGTTTGTTTGTTTGTTTTGGGTTTTACGTCACATCGACACAGTATAGGTCATATCGCGACGTTCCAGCTTTACTGGTGGGGGAAGACCTCAAGTGCCCTTCCGTGCATTATTTCAGGCACGAACGGGCACCTGAGTAGAACCACCGACGTTCCGTAAGCTAGCTGGATAGCTTCCTCACATGAAAGAATCCAAAGTCCCTGTCGGGATTCGAACCCACAGTGGTGAGGGGCAAGTGTAGAGTGCGAATAACTTTCCAGCTACGAAGGAGTAGTTTAGTCTCCGGGACCTACCCTATATGTACCATAAATGTGTTTGGATCTTAACCAGTCACTATGTCCTTGATGAAAAATTTAGCCAAGTCCCATATCTTCTCCCGATGTCCTGTGCCTTAGCTATGACGTGCACGTAACGAGGGGAAGAGATAGTTATTACGATTGTACATGTACATGTATTAGCTGAGTATATCATATGTCTACCATTTTGCACAATAATTGTAGGTTATCTATTGTCTACTTACAAACAGTCTTAAAATCACGAAAGTTAGTATTTCTCCGTAAATTAGGACTGTAAAATGATATAATAGTATTTCTTGACATCTTAATAAATTCTAAATGTTAAAGTCATTTCTAATGTTTTATATTACACGACTGTCCTTTGTACTTTTTTTTCTGAAGATGATATAACAATTTTCCACTTGATTACCACCATCAATATATCACATATGTTTCGTTTCTAATATGATTCGAATCATGTCAAATATCTTACGGTTCGTTTAATTCCTGGGAGTAATTTACAATACTTTCTCGTGATATCTCACAATTTCTCGTTTAGTGTAAGATTTATTTGTTCTGTATTTATTTGTTCTGTAAGCTAATGTATAAATTGAATACTGATCCCGACATCGGATAAAAAATAGATGGAATTGACATCGAACTATTGCAATTGCTCAAACGCATTTAAAGGAATTTAATAAATGCATGTATGTCTTTTGAGAG